TATAATGATGGTAATTTAGTTTTTTTTAATGAAAATTGTTTTTTTAATGAAAAATGTACTTCTTTTGTCTATTTTTATTCATATGCCTTCTATCTTCATCATCTTTATTGAAGGTCGTGGAGATTAGACGGGCGATCAACGATTCCAAATTAGTTTTTAATTTGTGTTCGACAAAATAAATTAATGCATAAGAAATATCTATGCAATTGCTTAATACATCCGTCATAATATGACAGGCACTTTCTAAAGATTTAATTTCTTCAAGAAATATTATGACAATATAAATTTGTTAACAGAAAATAATCTAACTTAATAATTAAGCAGTATAATTATGAATACTAACCAGGAATCCGCTTTCCAAATTCGTTCAGTATCTTTAATCTTCTGGTATTTAAAACATTTTGAGTAGTTTCTTGTGTAATATTTATTATACCACAGAGTGCACCATCTGATTTGAAAATTGGACTATATGAAGTGGTAAGATAATACTCTTCAGTATATCCAACACGCTGTGCTTCAAAAAATTTATCTTTTTTAAAGCTTCCTTTTCCAGTCGTTCTTACTCTAAATATATTGCGAGAAGTTTAGATATCACGTATAAAGTTTATTTAAGTGTTTACTCAACTCACCCTTCTAAATATGGAATAACGACGTCACACAATCTTTTGGGCAAAACATCTCTAATTGGTTTTCCTAATGCTATTAATTTTAATAAGGGTGTTATTTTCGTGAAGTTGATTATAAATATATGAGAATAATTTGTATTAACCGTATGGATGATATTGTTGTAAAACATTTATAAACGCTATAATTAAGTAGATTAGATATTAAGGCAAATGAATAAAAATAGACAAAAGAAGTACATTTTTCATTAAAAAAACAATTTTCATTAAAAAAACTAAATTACCATCATTATATAGAAAGATCCATTCCGAAGGACCGAGAAAGAGCGCGATGGGAAACGTAGAATTGAGGCACATACACTACATTAGCAAACATGATTTTATATATTATATTTTTTTAAATAAACATAAAAAATATATATGCAGTTAATTTTCTTTGTAAAGAAAATCTCTATATAACGAATTTTCAAATATAGAAAGCTAAAAAAATTTAAATTTTATGCAAGTTTTTTATAATTAACTGTAATTTAGTGATTGGACCCGGATAGGTGCCACCCGGGTCACCCGCGGGTGGACGGGTGACCCGGGTGGAATTTTGGCCACCC